CTTATTTTTTATATTAATTTTACTGTCTCTTTAAAGACTTTATTTTTTAAAACTATGTGTTTGTTTCTATAACTGTATATATCACCTTTTTTTAATCTCTTTAAAGCCTACGTATATTTTACACACATTGTAAACTATTACATCTGAATCTGTCTTATTGTGAATCTATTGCTTTAAGCTGCAACAGCTGTGGCTGCTGGCTCCGCCCACCTCAGCTTCCCAACATGGGGGTGGTTTTCCACCAGCTCTGGGAGCTATCGTGGGTCTATGCTTTTAGCCAAGCAGTGTGTAGTCCAGAAACCTCTTTTTTTTGTTTTATACCTGCAAAGGCTAAATCCACCACGCAGCTTAATGTGCCACTTGCAGAGGCCTCATTCCCGCCAAACTGCAGGTCGAGCACGCACACCAGAAACCCACAAGGAGCTCAAACCAGCAGCTGCTGCTCATTTGAGAGAGACAATTAGGAACTGTTTTTAGCTCCGTTTTAGAATCTTTTTTCTCAGTTTTAGGTGGAAACTCTTGCCCCACGTTGGGCGCCATTTGTAGCTGGAGTTTTCCTGCCTGGCCCACAGTCAGGACAAACTCTCTCACCTGCCAGTCCCACAGCCGCTTAAACCCGACCAAGTAAACACAGAGACTTATATTGGTTTCAAACTGTATGGCCATGGCAGGCTTCTTGCTAACTGTTCTTACAGCTTAAATTAATCCATTTCCATAAATCTATACCTTGCCACATGGCTCGTGGCTTACCGGCATCTTCACATGCTGTTTCTCATCGTGGCGGCTGGCAGTGTCTCTCTGACTCAGCCTTCCACTTCCCAGCTTTATTCTCCTCCTTGTCCTGCCTACACTTCCTGCCTAGCCAATGGCCAATCAGTGTTTTAATTATTGACTAATCAGCAACACATTTGACATGCAGAACATCCCACAGCAGATGGGGTTTCAAAACTTATAAGTTTAAGAATCTGTGACAAACAACGGAATTTTAAGCATATGTGACCACCAACTATCATGGTAAATTGGATAACTGGAGCAGAAGAAAATGTACAAGTGGCAAGTAAATACTGGAAAAAAAACTTGACAATCTTAGTCATCAATAAACTGCAAGCCATGCCCATCAGGAAGCCATCTTTTTTGAGGAAGGGATGGGAGATGAGACATTGCTGAAGTTGCTTGCTGAGTTTCTAGGCATACACCATTGACCTTTGTGGTTTTGCCATACATTAATCAAGAGCAATTGCAGTACTTTAGCCTCATCCTGCGTGGCTATGTGCCCAACAACTTTGACAAGCCTACTACTACTTGTCAAAATGTTCTCAGCTTTAAAATGGCTTTCAAAATTTAGTTGTGCTAAAAGTCTAGGATTAATTAAAACATTTAGAGTATCCACATTGGTAGTAAATTTCACTACACACACACACACACACTCACACACACACACACACGCACACACATCCCTTTCCCACACTCTGTCTTTCTGTCTCTTATTTGATCACAAATAAATAAGAATACAGGTAGGTAATAGGGTATTCTTATCTAGGACATTTTTGTTCACTGTAAGATCTTAAAGACTTTCTGTGTTTGCACTTGTGGATTTGTGTTATGTTTAGCTTTGTGTCTGAAATCCATAGCATATTTTGAATTAATTCTGGTCATGCTCACACTAACACTGCACAGTGACTTGTCGTGTTCATATTAATATATGCTTTTGCTAACCACGTGTTAAAATGGCCACCATTAATTTTGAAAATTCTTGAACATTTTTATATAAACATATATTTACATTTATTTAACACACTCTATTACTGTTTCTATTTTTTGTATGTAGCCCAGGCTGTCCTCTACATCATTAAGTTACCAAGGCTTTCCTCAGACTTGCTATCCTCCTGCTTTGAGTCCCACATGCTGGCACTAAGGTTATATGCCACCATAGTTAGGTCTGTTCTGGTTCAATATCAGGTTCTTAACCTTTTACAGCAGAATGTACTAGGTTTTATCTAGTAAGACACTGATTATATTGATGGTAAAATAAATTCATTATCTTAAATGTTACATAAACTTTAAAAAAGACTTACTTTAGTTCTGTTATGTATATTATCTGTGTGCCTGTGTGTGAGTATATGCACATGAGCTCAGATCCTCACAGAGGCCAGAGGCATTGGACACCCTGATGCTGGAATTGCAGGTTGTGGGCAACCTGATGTGACTGTTAGGAGCTGAACTCTTGCCCTCTGTAAGAGAGGAATGAGCTCTTGACCACTGAGCCATGTCTCCAGTCCCAGAAACAGTTTTCTGCCTTGAATTAACTAAAACTATGTTGTCAGGAAAGGTGGCTTTGTACTGTGAGCTATATATATATATTTCATCATATTTAATTTATTTGATATTTTATATATAATAATTGTTCATTCTTCCTACAAAGTTGAGATGATTTTATTAGAACATAGCCATTTGTGTCTCAGTTTTTATGGTACGAAGTCATAAGTACACAGTGTTTACTGAATAAGTGTAGGATTATAGCTATTGTTCATCTACCCTGTATTTTAGTAGTTTGTGATTCTCAAAATGTATTAATTTCTCCTAATTTGCTAATCTAGTAGAACTTTTCATTGATTTTATTTTTTATTATTTTATTTTTTGCTTTTTGCTTTTATTTCCTACAATTATAATACTTGCTTTTGTTTGCTTTCTGGAGCTGGATAGCCTGTGCTTAGCCTGTAGTTTCTTAAGTTTAAAGCCAATATCATTGTCTTTAAAACTGTTTTTTCCTAACATATTTAGTGCCAGAAATTTCCTTTGAGTTACTTCTTCAAAATGCAGTTGCAGAATATTTTCATTTACTAATTATTCAAAAATACTGTATTTAGTTATGACTGAAGCTTTACCACAGACTTTATTGTCACACATTTTAAATCTGTTCCATTATATTTAGAGATTATTTTTATGCTTGTTTTCAAAGTTTGATTTGCACTTTTGAGTTTTTATGTTCTACTCTTAAATATTTCAAAATGTCATTTTGTGTATAACATAACTCATGCAAATGTATATTTCTTTCTAAAAACTGACCTTTGTGTAATATTGTCATTTTTTTATATGTATTATAATTAGCATAATATATCATTATGTCTTAAAGAGTAGTTTCCTGCATTAGAAATATGTTTTCTTTTGAAGCCATATGTATGTATTTCTAGCATTCTTCATTTCAGTCATAAATCTTATTTCCTTCACTTTATTTTCCTTCTGTCTAAGTAAATTTCACTTCTGACAGGAAAAACTTTTGGCAATGGGTGTTTAATGCTTTTGTTTTGGAAGTCGCCCTTTTAGTCTTACCTCTGAAAGCTGGTGGGCTTTATGATGAGCTTTGCGTTGACTTCTCTGGTTCTCTTTATCCTCCAGGATCTCTATCTGCTCCCTTATTACTCAGCTTGAGGTGCTGTCAAAGCTCATGACACTTTGAATCCTTCCCTCCATTCTTTTCTGTCGCTGTTTTGTGATGGTTACTTCCTTCCTGCCTTTCTTCCTTCCTCCCTCCCTCTCTCCCTCCGTCCTTCCCTCCCTCCTTTCTTTCTTTTTATAACTTCTTTTCATACAATATTATTGTTAGCTCTTTCAGCTCACTGATTTTCTTCCTTCCTCAATGTTGAATCTCTTGATGACCATATCCAATGATTTTTAGCTCATGGTTTTAAATTGTTGTATTAGAAATTTGATTTACTTTATTGATACGACTTACATTTATCTACTCAACATGCTCAACCTTTCCTATGCCTTGAAGTTATGTAAAACATCTTTACCATATACCATCTGCTAATTTATCACTTGTGCCCTTGTTGGTTGTATTCTGATTGCTTCTTATAGCCATTGTGTGTTACAGTTCTTGTTTATTTGAATACTTGATTATTTTTAATTAAAAATTTGCCCTCTTGTAAGCTGGTGTATCCTTGGTACCTCTTCATTGTTCACTGTTTCTCTGATCCCACTTCCTTTCATTAGTTGATACTAAGGAATGCAACCAAGGTAGGATTTTATAGATTTTTGTCCACATTTTTAAATTGATAAGAAGATCCTTGTCACTAACCCTTGAATGCACACCATAATCCTAAGGTAAGGTTTTTACTCAAAAGACATTACATTTTATAGTGCTAATTTTTAGTTTATCAATAAAGTTGATATGTGGCTCTTCATTAAAGACAATTTCACTGTCTGTCTCTGCCTCCCTATATATCTGTTTCCCTCACTATCTCTGACTATGTCTTTCTCTCTGTCTGCCTCTCTCATCAATTCCAATCATGGCACAGAGCTTACAGATAATTGAAAGATTATTTAAAATCTTATATCTCGTAATTAAGAAGATGATTGTGTAATAAGACAATTATAGTCCATTATATCTTGAGACTTTTAATAAATATTTAAAACATATTTAATTTAAAAATTCTGCTTTACTTTTAGCATAATTTAGGTGTGTTTGACCTAAGTAGATTAATAAATTCATAAGTATGATAACACTTTGAAAATTCTAATGTGTTGTTATTCCCAAGAAATGTTAAATGGTAAAATATATTCTTTTACAAATTCTTAAAAATGAGGGCTCCATTAATGAATAACTAATTTCAATGAGCTTTTATAATAAATAAAAAATAATGTTTATTAAAGATTTATGTTTTATCTTACTTGGCCTTTAATAAAGAGAGTTACTCAGCTTTTTAATTATCTTCTGTTATTTGAAGTTATTAACAGGGATGAAAATGAATTAGTTCTCTTCTCCCTTACAGCTTCATAAAGGCAAGAGGGGAGAGAGAGAGAGAGAGAGAGAGAGAGAGAGAGAGAGAGAGACACCATTGTTTACAATTCGCACTCTGCTTCCTAGTTACATTAGACAGAATCCTGTTTTATTTTAAATCCTTCATTTTAATAAAAAATCACCCTGAGTAGATTAATGAGTGTTCTAGTTTGGTTTTATTGCTTTGATAAACACCTGACCTGAATCAAGCTGAGAGAGAAAAAAGTTTGGTTGGCTTACACTTCCACGTCATAGTCCATCATGGAGCAAAGTCATTGCAGGAACTCAAGCTGGAATCTGGAGGAGGATCTGAAGCAGAGTCTGTGAAGGAACAGTGCTTATTAGCTTGCTCTCTGCTTCTGTTCATCTGGCCTTTGTATACAAGCCAGGCCCACCTGCCCAGGGCTATTAGTGCCCACACTGTGCTAAGTACTCTTTATCAATTAGAAAATCAAGAAATACCTCCCTCCTCCCCAGTGTGCATGCCCATTGATAGGTGCCAGAGGAAAGCCAGAGGCTTATGGGCAGCAGAGGCCATGTATTAATAAAGCTGTCCATGAGTTGTCCACGGTTGCCGTGTTCTGAGAATTTTCTCCCAAGTCCTTCCTTGTTTAATTCTGTTATTATTTATTTATTTAATCATGTATGTTTTAAAATTGTATTTACTCTGAGAATTCCATGCATGCACACAATATATTTTGATCCTATCCACCATCATCACTCACTTCTAATTCCCTTATTCTCCTTCCTCCACATCCTTCCAAACTTTATGGCTTTGTATGTTTTTATAGCCCAGTAAGGCTAATTAGTTTGGCCCATGTGCTCATGAATGCAGACAATCCACTGCAGCATGGACAATCTACCAAGAAAGCTTTATCTCCTCTAGCACCTATCAACAGCAAAAATCTCCCTACTAAGGATAGGGCCTCATGGGCCTGCTGAGGGCTGTGGGAGTATACAGCAGGTGACAACTAGTATTTGACAAATCAACCTACCAGACATATAACTCCCTGATGGGGAGACCCACCTGGCAAATTCATGGGGACACTGGCTGTGGAAGCTGGTTGTTTTCTGTCTATAACTTTCTCATGTGCCACCATTATACTTCCCTATAAGAACAGCTGTGGGGTTCTTTCCACACCCCTTCGGGAGTGTGTTTTACATTTCTGGGCACACATTTAGCTGTGGATTTCTGTTTAAGCTGTATAATTCTGATGAACAAAAATATTAACAGAATATTCTTCTTTATTGACACAGGAAAGTAACAGTATTCTCAGTCTCTAAGACAGCCTTTCACACATTTTGCAAAGACCTTAGAACAAGTCCAAAACAGACTAAGCTGCCCCTACAGAATATACACAAAGACTAATTCCCAGTTATTGTTTATTTCTAAATCAAGGCCAGGCTGTTTACACTGAGATTGGCTCCTTGCAGTAGCTCTCTTTCTGTACATACCCTGACCAATCAAGGTTCAACCAATTGTTTAATATCTGGGACCCTTCACCAACTTAGAACTATGTGCATGGGTCAATGTGACATTACTAGCCTAAGAGAAACTACCTGACTTATCTTGTGTTTTGAGAATGGATAGGGCCCTGAAAATGTAACTTATATTTGTCCAGGGTTTGGCTGTAAGGGAGCAGCAGAAGTGTGGAGAGAGATGGCTGTGTAGAGCTATGTGAGAGCTGCTGTAGAATGTGAGTGAAGTGAGTGTATATGTGCTGAGAGATGAAGAAGAAGGAGGAGGATGAGGTGGAGGAAGAAGACGAGGAAGAGAAGAAGCATGATAGAAGTCTGAGGGAGTGAATGGGTGAAAGAGTAAGTGAATAAAGAGTGCCTGAATAATCTAGAAGTATGTGTGTGGTGAATGAGTGTGAGAGAAAGAGCTGTATGTAAGAGCTGTTGCTATGTAGAGGAGCTATGTCTAGGAACTGTGAAGTACTCTATGGTGAAAGAGCTATGCAAATCAGATATTTAGCTGTGGCTGTGTGGAGATTTGTAACTGTGTGGAGGCAAGGAAGATGAAGCTGTGTAGAAAAGCGATGTAGAAGAGAAATGTGTGCAAAGGAAAGATGTACAGCTTTGTGAAAAATGTATGTGTGTAGAGATATGTAGTTGTATGCAGCACTATGGAGATATGTAGCTGTGTGAAGACAGAAAGAGTCAGAGACCACTTTTAAGATGAAGTAAAAGAGAAAGTTATCATCAGAAAGCATATATGTTTCCTTATTTCACCAGTTATAGATAAATTGAACCTTATTCCTAATTACCCTCAGGGAAAAAAAAAAGTTTCTGCTGTGGGATGGTCTGTATGTCAAATGTGTTGCTGATTGGTCAATAAATAAATCACTGATTGGTCAGTGGCCAGACAGGAAGTATAGGCGGGACTAACAGAGAGAAGAATTGAGAGAACAGGAAGCTGGGTGAGGGAGACACTGCCAGCCGCCATGATGAGAAACAACATGTAAAGATACTGGTAAGCCACGAGCCATGTGGCAAGGTACAGATTAATAAAAATGGATTAATTTAAGCTGTAAGAACAGTTAGCACGAAGCCTGCCATGGCCATACAGTTTGTAAGCAATATAAGTCTCTGTGTTTACTTGGTCGGGTTTGAGCAGCTGTGGGACTGGCAGGTGAGAGAGATTCGTCCTGACTGTGGGCCAGGCAGGAAAACTCAAGCAACAAGTTTCCCATCCCTTGCTACTTTGAGACATTCCTTTTGTTACCCTGAGCTGATCATGAGAGCTGATCTTTCAGTTACCCTTCCCCCATCTAAGCTGCAAATTTGACTCTCTTGATTTTGTACAGGTATTGTGCAGACAACCATAGGGGCCGTGAGTTCATCGGTGCAATGACATTGTCATATCTAGACAACACAACCATGACATTTCTTCCTGAATTCTCAATCTTATGATCCTTCTGCCATCAGGATGGTCTTAGAGCCTCATCGGGAAGGGTTGTAATATAGATGCCCAGTTTATGGATGAGTACTCTGGAGTCATTTACTCTCTACATTTTAACCATTCTTGGGCCTCTGTATTAGCTAACATCTGTCCATTAAAAGGATGCAATTCTAACTATTATTCTTCATGAAAATATAAAGTTCATTTTCCATGAAATTGTAGCTATTATGTATGTTGTTGTTTGTTTTTGCTCTTTTTACTCTTTTGGTGGCCTGCCACCCAGATGTTAAGGAAACACATACAGTGGCTTATTATTACTTATGAATGCCATGCCTTAGCTTGGCTTGTTTCTTGCCAGCTTTTCTTAACTTAAAATTACCCCATCTACCTTTTGCCTCTGGGCTTTTTCCTTTTCTTGCTTCTGTATATCTTACCTTCACTCTTACTCCACGGCTGGCTGTGTGGCTGGGCGTCTGGCCCCTAGCATCTTCCTCTCCTTGTTCTCTTGCTCCTTCTTTCTCTCCTCTCAGATTTCTCTTTCTATTTATTCTCTCTGCCAGCCCCACCCATCCTTTGTTTTGCCTTGCTATTGGTCACTCAGCTTTTTATTAGGCCATCAGGTGTTTTAGACAGGCAAAGTAACACAGCTTTACAGAGTTAAACAAATACAACATCAAAGAATGCCACACATCTTTGCATCATTAAACAAATGTTCCACAGCATAAACAAATGTAACACATCTTAAAGTAATATTCTACAACAATATATGCAATTCTCACAACTTAGAATTTATTATTAATCATTCAGGAATTATTTATTTGTCTATTAGTTTTATATCTAGATATAATTATTTATTGAGGATGGTAATTGTGTTTTTCTGAATGTTTTAAAATTTTGTACTTATTTGTTATTAAAGTAGCTAAGCACTGAATTGGTTGCTTGATTATGAATTGATTGTGTATGTTGCCCATTTCCTGGACACCAATATTCTGTGAGTAGGGGCTGTAAACATGGCTCTGTAGTTGAGAGCACTTGGTACTCTGTGTACAGAGACCCAAGTTTGGTTCCCAATATCTATATCATGGTTCACAGCATCTGTAACACGAGTTTCAGGGCATCTGATACCCTCTTCTGACCTCTGAGGGCAGGAGGCATGCACACAGCGTCCATGCATACATGCAAAAAAAACCAGAAACACATATAAAATAAAGTGAATAAAATCTGAATTTTAAAGAACAATAGTATAAGCAACATGCTTAAGCATAATGAGCTAGTAATTTAATTTTCTAGCCTTTTGCTAAGCACTTTAAAATATCTTTAAAGCCTGAGAATCTTCATCAATTACTGGATTTCATGGTAAATGGAGGCATCTTAAAAGCTGTGTAATGTTTATCACAATGTCTGTGCTATTCCCTATTCACATAACTCCCCACATCCATACAGCAATGACATCAGTACAACCTTTCATTTTAGCCAACCTGATGTTTTAATTTACATTTTCATAACAGCATCCTTGTGTGGAACATCTGTTAATGTTGAATTTATTAGTTGTGTAAGCTTAGTGGGTACATACGTTTTTTTCATAATTTACTGATTGGTAAGTCTTGAGAGTTCTCTGTTTAACATTTGAAGAACTCTTTTTCTGAACATGTATCTTTCATTTATCCATATCCTGTATATCCCTAATCCTTTCACTTCATAGAGTCATGCACAGAGCAAAGGGTAGTTTTTGGTGGGTTTTTTTTTTTGGTTCAGTTAATCTAATTTTAGTTTTACAGTTCATATTAATAGTGCCAGGTTCAAAATCTATTTGTCTGGTTCTAAATCCTGAAGGTTTTCAATGCCAGTTTTTATTTTTTCTATTAAATTTTGATGTGGGATGTTTTTATTTATTTGAAATGTTTTTTTATAATAGATTTAATAACTATTTGCATTTTGCACTTAATCTGTGATTGATATTCTTGTATGTATTATATCAGAGCTTGATCTCTTCTCCCTTCCTCCCTCCATTCCTTCTTTCTTTTCCTGTAGATACCCAATTGATCCATTATCATTTGGTGAAATTACCTTCTGTCTTCATTGAGTTGTTGCTTATCATTCAGAAAATAAGTTGGGCATATTTGGGGGATTATTTGTGAGCATTCAATTATTCCCCATTGCTTGAGAGATTACATTCTTAACAAATAAATTGACAATGTCATAAAGCTTACTTATTTTAGTTTTATTTATCGAAAATTTTACATTTTGCTGTTCTGAGTTATCTTTCACTCGATTAGCAAGCTCCTGTTCTCTCTCTGTCTCTTTCTATACACACACACACACACACACACACACACACAAACAAAACAAAACAAAACAAAACACAATTAATCCCTTTCATAAATACATATTTACAATTTTGGTGTCCTTATATTCA